GGGAACACAAGCAGAGGGAGTGGGAGAGGGAGAAGCAGGCTCCCCGCTGAGCAGGGAGCCCGATGCGGGGCTCGATCCCAGGACCCTGAGATCATGACCCGAGCCGAAGGCAGACACTTAACAACTGAGCCACCCAGGCGCCCCTACCCCTGGCATTATTATGCCCATTTTACTGGGACAGAGAGCAGTTAACCTGCCAGAGTCAAAGAGCTGAGAAGTAGCAGGCTTAGGACTGGAACTCAGCTCTTTCTTACCCCAAATCAACTCTCTTGCCTCCACCTCCCAGTAAATCAGGCACTTGAGGGAGAATGAAATCTGTACGTCTTTTCACAAAGTTCAGTTTCTAAAACCTTGTGGGAAACCAGGAAATCTAGCCCTGACAGGAGAGAAAGCCCCGAAGCCATCCTCAAGGCAGGAGAGCTTATTATGACAAAGGAGTTTGTGGTTTCCAGATGGTTTTTTGAAAATAATTTGGGGTTAAAGAGAAACAACAAAATCACTAAAAATGATTTACAATTTATTACTCTCAAGTCTTCATGTTTCAGGAAAAGCCAACAGAGCTGTTCCGTGGTGATACTAAATTCTCTTCCTAATTCACCCTTCAGACTTCATTTTGGCCTTGTGCAATCTCCCTACTGAAAGGGCATTGTTTCGTGATTTCTGATACAAGTCAGACCTGCCTGGCCGTCGCTTCAGCCAGTCACCCGACAGCTGTAATAGGGGGCCCAGCCCAGTACAAACCCGCCAACCCTGGGTGTGAACATCACCATTGCCTTTTGGCCTGAAAACTCCTGGGACCATAATATTTACGCCTTTGGGGAAAGCAAATTGTTCATCTGGAATTTGAGGGGATTTTTGTTTTCCTCCTACTGGAGCCAGGAAACTATTCAAAGTATGTTTGCAACCTGCTTAGCACTCCCCACTTGGCCACGCTCTCCTCCGAGAACACGAGAGCACTAAGCCGTGGGTGAGCTGAAGGGCAGCAGAAAAGAAATCCTCATACCAACAGATGCCCCCTTCACTCTCACTGAGCTTTCACTTTAGATGGCTCTGTGGACAGGCGCCTGGCTGGCTCAGGGAGTAGAGCATGAGACTCTTGATCTCGGGGTTGTGAGTTTGAGCCCTGCACTGGGTGTGGACATTACTTAAAAATTAAAAAAAAAAAAATGTTAATCTTTAGATGGCTCCTTGTTGTGGGTGACATTGTTTTGTTTTCTTTTTAACTTTGCATAGGTAGGTAAGACATTGAATTTAATGCCTTATCAGTATACTTAAAAGACATATCGTTTAAAAGGGCCTTGGGGTCAGATAGGTGTTTTAAGCCCACCCAAAACATGCTTTTGTTAAACAATTTGAACGCTAGAAATTTCCTGAGACCAGCAAAATTCTTTATAGTACCAATACTCGATTTAATTTTGCCTGCTGATTCTAACTTTGTAAAGAAAAGTGGACAGAGGGGGAGAAGCTAGCATCTGTAAGCATTTATGATGTGCTGGGTACCGTATTTGCCAATTAGCTTATATCATTTAATCCTTACCAGAAACTTCAAGGCAGGTAGTATAAGACTCACCAAAGCCAAGTCATTTGCCCAGGGCTGGGGTTGAAACCCAGAGCTGTCTGGTTCCAGAGCCTCCCCGTCACCCTCACCCTCCCCTGTCACAGACTGTCGTCTATAGATCCAAATTGATGTGTTTTAGGAAAGGCAGCTGTACTGCAGTCAATTCTGCCACTCTGATTCTTTTTTTTTTTTTTTAAGATTTTATTTATTTGTGAGAGAGAGATTGAGAGACAGAGAGCATGAGAGGAGGAGGGTCAGAGGGAGAAGCAGACCCCCTGCTGAGCAGGGAGCCCGATGTGGGACTCGATCCCGGGACTCCAGGATCATGACCTGAGCCGAAGGCAGCCGCTTAACCAACTGAGCCACCCAGGCGCCCCTGCCACTCTGATTCTCGAAGAACTGTTTGCCAGCTCTATTCCTTCCATAGGATGGTTTCCACATTAACTTTGCAACTTTAAAATGACGCAGCCATGGAAAGAAGGATCCATATGAGGACACGTGAACAGTGTTTTCTGCCCAGAGTTCCTCATTTTTAACTGAATCCTCTGGCAAGTTTCCAGCAAAGGAAATTAGATGGAGGGGAGGGGAGGCCTTGACCCAGAAAGCTGGAATCAGGTAGAAAGTTGAGGGCATAGAAAAAATGTGTGTTGGGGAGGTCAGAATCGGGAGAGATTTCTCTCTGCTTAGAGGTGAAGAGGGATTTGGGAACGTTTCAGGGAGGAAATAGCATTTAAGCAGAGCCTTGGCCTTGAAGGATGGGGGAGCACTCCTTTCAAGCAAAAGGAAACTGTGAACAAAGACACAGAGGCAGGAAAGGGAGAACATTGGTGGAAAATAAGGTATTAATAGTGCTATATTATCAACAGCACTGCTTTTCATAACGGCACTCCGGTATCTGGTATAAAACAGAATGTGTTCCATGACCAAGTATATCACAATCATCTGTTGCTGGAGGAGCAGCAGTCTTTCCATGCTCCGACACATCTGGAAATTCTGCTTTTTGAGTGGCATATATTTGCGTAGAGGCGGTCACATTAACTGATGTCAAGTTTAAGATCCTGTCTCATTTTGCTTCTGCAGAAGGAAACTCCACTTGCCAACGCCGCATTCTGGGCAGCAAGAAGAGGCAACCTGGCTCTGCTCAGGCTGTTGTTGAACAGCGGTCGGGTGGATGTGGACTGCAGGGACAGTGTACGGATGGATTCTTTCGGTATATGCATGCCAAGGGCACGCCATTTCCCCTGCCGGCATGAGAACAGCTCCTGAATACATTTCCCTGTACAGTGCTTATCTACTCTTTCTGTATGCCTGCTTTATCCTTTTAAAAAGTCCAAGGTACCCTGGTGAATGTAAAAACTTTTGGGGGGCTGGAGAGGGCGCCTGGGTGGCTCAGTTGGTTAAGGGTCCAACTCTTGATTTCTGCTCAGGTCGTGATTTCACTGTGTGAGATCGACCCCCGAGTTAGACTCTGTGCTCAGTGGGGAGTCTGCTCGGGATTCTTTCCCTCTGCCTCTCCCCCTCCACTCACACACACTTGTACACACATGCATGCTGTCTCCTCTCTCAAATAAACATTAAAAAAAATTAAAAACATATTAGGGAAACCATTACATGCATAAAACGGAAGGCAGCCACAATAAGGAAAGAGGCACTTCACTGGGAATTACAATTAGCAAATTCCAAGAAGGAAAGTGTTTTTAGTCAGAGAATTCAAACCAACTGCTTCCATGGAAAGTGGAGATAATTCAGAGCAGAAGAGGACTGCCATGAATGTGTAAGTTGGGTTTTTCTATAAGGATACGAGAACTGAGAATGGAAGCCACCACCCAGCCTCTTACCTTTCACTATCGTTGCAAACATCAGTACACGCACTGACAAGTGAGGGGTCTAAAAATAAATACTCCTGCCCACTGGCAGGCATCCTTTGGGGAGCCCTCCCCCGCAGAGAGAATCAGTGATTTGTCTGTACTCAGCAGGATGATGCATCTCTGGGGATCAGGAAGACCTCAAATGAGAGAGAGACAACAGAAATACTTTGATTTTAGGAATAAAAATGTTTTCAAGGGAGCCTTATTCTTTTCCAAACAGCGGGATGTGCCATTTCCAGCTTTTATTGCACAAATTTGGTAAGTGAGATCAGCCGCCCGCCTGAGATATCCAGGTTTGTTCGCTTTGCCCACTGGGGGCATCGGTGAGCAGTGTCTTGGGTTTGCACCTCCAGATCCACCCAGACCCTTCTTCAGTTTGCTCTGTGTCACAGAGCGCTGCTGCTGCCAACTCCCAGTCCAACATTGCTCTTGTAATGGCACAGTTTTATACATCACCACACTTTCTTCCAGCCATCCAGTGTGACTATGCTCCTTTCGCTGGGGCCCAGGCTGATAGGAGGTCAGGCATCTATGAACTGGCCATCCCAGTCTTACGTGGGTCTCCTCAGCAGCCGTGGGCCACACTGGAGTAGGAGTGCTGGTTTTCCCTGTGGCCTCACCCCCTGATTGCACTGATGACCATTTTTCCTCTTTTTCTTGAAGTCACCCTTTCTCAGCCACCCCTATAAATCTTTCCTGACTTTCAGTTTCCTAGGGGCCGCCTCACAGTGCCACACACATCTGCCCCCCAGATAGTAAGTACCCCGTACGCTCAGCCTTCCCAGCGCCCTTTCCTCCTCAATGTGACCTGCTACCTTCTTTTTTTTTTTTTTTTTTTGGG